CACATGTTATATCCACTAACATTTAAAAACCGCAAGCGGGCGACGAAGTCGCCCGCCACATCTAACATTGCTAGTTAATTATAAAAAACAGCTAATTTAACTTAAATTTGACACTATAAACACATAAAATCATACCTATTTTTACATTCAAAATTGTTAACGTTAAACGATTTTCCATTTGAGTTAAATAATAATCTGTTAGATATTTCGCCTCAATTTTTCCACAGATTATTTCGAAATAATCCTTTTCAAGCAATTTAATGGATCTTTTATGAAATTTAATTATTGTCACTTTTTTCAACTTCTTCTCTGAAATCTTGAATAACTCGGTTTATACTTTGATCGAAATTATTTCTCCATTCTTGATAAGCATTTAAAAATTTGCTTGAAATCATTACATTATCTAGTCTAAAAATTTGTTTCACAAATTCACTATCAGAAACTGTTTCAACCTCGTCGTTTATTTTATCAATAATTTTACTTGTGAGTTCGTTGAACTGCAACCCTTTCCCTTTAAAAACACAAATTAAATATCGTTTTAATACATTTTTATACTTTTTAATTAATTTAGGAAAGTCTTGCTCTTCATCAAAGAACAATTTTGATATTGAATTTGCAAAGTCACAATTTTTTGCAAGAATAAGTCGAGTTTTGAGGTATTTCCAAGTAGTAGTAGAAATATTGAAAATTTCATTTTTGAGACGTGGAATAATATTAGGATCAATTTCATTGATACTATTAATTGCTAAATCAAAGAATATCTCTTTAAAATCATCAATAACTAAACCAGAATATTATAATTAGAATACTTACTTTCTTCTTCTACTTGTTTTTTATCATAATCACCTATTAAACTTTCAAAACCACTACAATAATCAGAATATAATAAATATCCACATAATTATTTTTAATCTATGTGCATATTATTAAATAGGTACATACTTATAAGATTTCCTCAAAATCTGATATGCAATTTGTTTAATAATATTCAGTTTTTTTTCTAAAGCTTTATGGATTGATTTAACATTTTCATCTTCAAGTTCTTTTAACTCTATTTCATATTGCACAAAAATATTCGAAATATTTATGCCATCTTCAACAAGTACTCGAAGTTCTTGAAATGTCATATTATTACGGTCAATTGAAAGAGCACATTTTTGAATTTCAAGCTTTTGTTTGAAATATTCTTGAAATTGGGTCAAGGAGTCAAAAATCTTTAACCTATTTTTATCAGCTGTTGTAACAGCTTTCATTTTTCGAGTAAGTAATGTCTGGTTTTATACAGATTCAACAACTAATGGATGTAAAGATAGTTTATCAAGACACTTAGCGGAGTAAGAGTTTTGTAAATTCGGCGTTGGAAGAGATAACTTGTATTTTCGAAAATAATAATTAATTTAATATTTGATTATTGGAGAATTTTAAATGTAACCTACATCAAATCCTTTAAAGAGTTCAAAATCTTCCTTTTGTTCTTGGCTCTTTTTGATTTCAAAATTATGAAGAAATGCTCCATTTTCCTTATTTTCATTTTCCTCATCTTCATCGTCATCAAAATCTTTACCCAGCAAATTCCAATCAAAATTATCTACATCATTATCTACCAAAGCAATAATTAACGAATAAGGTAGCCGTGCGACGCAGTCGCACTAGAAACCAGGAACAAAGGTATATAGCTAACAAATAGTTAAAGCAAATGTAAATAGGAAATCAATAAGAACTGAATACATGTTTG